AGCCCAATAGATGAAATAAGCTTGAAGAAAAGAGAAAAGAACCCTTGGATGATGCAGGCTTCAGAGGCTTGTGGGAAAACTTAGATATCTTACTATCACTAGACCTGACATTACCTATGCTTTGGGGTTGGTAAGCCAGTATATGCATGCTCCTTGTCAAGCACACCTACATGTAGTATACAGGATCTTGAGGTACCTCAAAGGTTATCTTGGCAAAGGGATTGATCAAGAAAGATCTTTTGTTCTTCATATATATAAGATCTGTGATTGGATCCGCATATGTTTGGTAAAGAGAATAATCTTATCCTTTGAGAATAATAAAAAATGGACAGTGTTCAATTGGAACATTCAAAGGTGACTAAATTGGTCCTAGTTACTCTTCGGGGCGGAGTGGAAGAAGGGGGGGATTCTCGAACGCGGAAAAGGATCCGATGAATTCGAAAGAATTGAAGGAGTGTAATTGGGAATTAGCTTGGTGCTCTTACTGGCTTTCCTTCCATGCCTACTCACTATCTATATATGTATCCATGAATAAGCAGAAGAAAAGGAATAGAGGTGCGCAGCAGATACCTTTTAGTATTCTAAGCCCCTTTGCTGATTCGGCCTATTTCCCTTATACTAGAAAGGCCCCCCCGAAATCTGACTTTCAATTGGGAGTTTTCACGCCAGGAACCGCTTCTCCCCCTTAACTTTGTTCTATTCTATTTGCCTTCTCCAACATTTCCATAAATGCGGCTAGCTCTTTTGCTAACAGCTGTACGACCAATCTTTTCTTTCAGAATCGTGGTCAGAAGCTTGGGCGAACTCTTTTGCATGGGAAAGACTGTCAAAGGCTAACTGGCTTAGGGGTCGGAGTTGCAAACTGCTCGACCTTAGGTAAGGTTGGGTAGGGAGTTCTTCCCACTTCCTCTTCCCATACATGAAAGGGTACTAAGAAGAACTGAGGAAAGGAGCAGAGTTGAAGCTTGAGCGGTACTCCTTCTCTTTCAAACTCACTTCTTAAGGTTCGAAGATGCTCGCCCGTCTACCGGGATAGAAGAAAGAGAAGATCTCGACTAGGAGTCAGAGGGGATCTCTAGAGGATCTTTTCTAAGCCAGGAAGATGCCTCTGCTTAAGTTGCAAGTATTGGGTTTTCAAACTGAGATTTGACTTTCTAGGTTTACCAGATCAAAGAATCCCAGCAATCAAGGAAGGGGAAAGAGAGCAATATACTCCCCTGTTTCACCTGAACCCTCTATTCATTCGATAGAAGCCAGGGGCTGATTGAACGTAATGGGTTGCTGCATCTCATGCGATTGGAAGAGCATGAGAAGGACAAGCTACTGACTTTATACTTCCTGTTCTATTGGAAGAGAGATGAGATTCCTTCAGGACAGACTCCATTCCGAATGCCAATAAGACCACTTCCTCAATCCTGAGCATCATTTAACTCAAGAGCCTTGCGGCAGTCCCACTTCTACTGGATCTCAATCTATAAACTTTGTGGAGCGCGAGCTTTATAACTATTTTCTGTGAGATGGGCGCCTTCACCTCCGTAAGAACCTTTATCTCGAAAGAGATTAAGTAAGGCAAGTTTCTGACCATTAATTCTGTAACAAAGGAGCGTAGTGGCAGGCTCGCATAGCTAAAGCCTTCAAGTCCTATTATCGGAGTGGGACTTTTTCCATTATTTATCCTATTTCCGATCGTACCTTGCCAATTCCTTTTCTATCCCTATATTCAAATTAGCCCTACTTGCCATTAGAGTGTTCTTTCAGACGTTGAGAGGAAGGGACCCGCGGACACACCATCAGAGCTAGATTTAGCTTTGGATCGATCAATTGCCCCATCCACATCATCGAATGAGGTTAAGTGCGCCTTTCAGAGACTTTGATAAAGAATGCCTTCCTTCAGCGAACGGCTAGACACTTCTATACTGGGATCTCTTGAACCTATGAAACTCGTGAAAGTGGGTGAACCCCTTGCCCCTTCTTATTGCTATTTGTGACGTCGAGTGCTTAAGTAAGATCAGCAGTCTGGCAGGTCCTTGGACGCTGGCCCTTAGTAGTCTAGTCTACTCGGACCTCTACTAGGGATAGAGCTAGCCGGAAAAAGAAGAGGAAAAATAGGCGATTCGAATCCCCCTTCTTCTTCTTCCCATGAAACTGAAACTAAAGAATTCCTTGTAGGGTCAGCTTACCAATCGCTCTATTTTCTCTTTCCTTCCTATAGCTCATGACATACTTTCCTTTCTTTGAGCGACTGACCTGGAATAGGCCTAAAGTGCACAACTTATCCTTCTCTTCTCCACTTTGTGGCTATCGGACCTGAACCCATTGAAAGTGAGAAAAGAAGTGTCGTAGCCTATCCTTCTATTCTCCATTGAGTGGTGAGGACCGTTATCCGTTGTTACTGAACCTGCTTGATTCGTTGTAGACTACTTTCAAACCCCACTGAACTAAGAAAGAGTCTCGTATCGACCAAGTATTTACTTAGAATAGATCTGTTTTGATAGATCCGTTTTGGCTTTCCTATTCCATAGATCTTCCCTGAAGAACGGAATGGATTGATCTGACCCACAATCTGTCTCTTCAACCTTTGAGTAGACCATAGGCGGGACTCTCTTTCGCCTAGGCAGAGAGGAGGGAATGTAAGACGAGACTGATTCAAGAGTCTTGGACAGAAGGGAGGGGACGGAGACGGAGCTTCCTTCTTGCCTTTCATCATTTCAGGAAAGCTTATTTGAGCAGAGAATTTCCTTTTAGTACAATTTCTTTTCTCCTCATTTCTTTCATAGACAGAAAGGTAAGTAAAAACAACCCCGACATTAATAAACCACAAGCAAGTCAGATTGGGATCCCCAATGACAAGCGAACGGGCATTTTCGGGTCCAGAACAAACAAAAGAAGGGAAAGGAGGGTGGTTGAGACAATGTAGTCTATTTTCACAAGAGTACGGAGCTTCAAATTTGAGAACTCTGTTTCCTGTTTGAGGGAGAAAGCTAAGGAAGGCTGTTTCCAAGGGCGGCAGGCATGATAAATAAGGTGTGTAAGGCAGGGCCAAAGAAGGTAGCATGGCTAATAACGGCGAGACTACATGCTTCAATTTCATAAGTGGGTGAAGGAAGAATACCTGAGCTTCAAGCAAAGAAGGCGGGGACCTCGGGCCTTCGCAAAATCAACGGTCTCACCGGGAACTAGACAAGCACCTAGATGTAAATTCTCAGGCCCTAGCCCGAAATTCTTACTTCATTTATCACAGTTCCAGGCCCATAGGAATGGCTTTCTCCTTCTCCAATTGTCGGGAGAGGTTTTCCGCTCCGGCCGTTCGGAATTTTTTTTCATAAAAAAGAAAGTAAAAAATAAGTGAGGAACCCTAGAAATAAAATGTTTGTTCTGATAACGGGAAAGTTTATCCCTCTGATCTTAGTTGCGGCCCCCCGATCAAACTAGAGCGTAAGGGCGCTTTTTTGTTTGCATGAGTCCCGGCTTCTTTCTAACGGGCAGATGACATCTCTTGCCTGGTGAATCAGCATGTTCTAACACGTGTTGTTTGGTTTGAGTATGTATTTCATATTCGTTACAGGCCAATCGGGGCTAAAGAATGTCCAACAACGTGCGATATGTGGATTTTATTCACCCTAAGTAATGAGAGGATTGGTCCTCTCATACCAGTGAATTGGGTCGCATACATTAAGAGCAAGAGAGTACTGGCTCGCCGCTGTGGATGTAGGTGTTCCCATGAAACGAACCGGTGCCACATTCCGCTAGGATACTGGCTGGAGTTGGTCTCACCGTAGTGACGAGAGTTCCAGCTTGATGAATCACCCATTCCCTCTGTATGTCCAAGCGCCATCCACTTGTGAATACAACAACCTGCCCACCGTAATCAAGTAAGAGTTTCAATATTCACTAAGCTTCCTTTCAATTATCCCTATAATAAGGAAGACATAGTGCTTGTTGATGGCCACGATTCCAATATGGCCCTCTGACCTTTTTTCCCGTGAATAGCTCGGTTTATGTGCGTCTTAATCATGGCCACTTATCGACCGGTCACACTGGTCAGCGGCATTCATTCAGTTGTCCTGTTCAGATGGATGAGACAGTTCCCACTTGAAGCATGCTTCAAGTCTAGCTTTGAGACATTTACTGCAACCGGAACCTTCATTCCTTATTGTTGTTAATTCCATGCTAGCAAGTCAGTTTCATGTTGACTTGCGGAACAATCACATCAATATACACAAAAATTGAAATTGGAACTGGAACTTGATAACGAACCTGGACTAACCCATATAGAGTCGTGGACAACATGAATTCGTGACATACCGAGATTGATTCATTTCATCGATGGAAATGAGTCAAGTTACCTAACGTGACACACTATGGATTTGAACTTTAGCACCCCCTCTTGCTTTTTATTGTTAGGGGTAGATGAACAGAGCAGAAGGACTTCTCGCTATGGTGTGCCTAGTAGTACCCGAAGCATTGACATTGAAAGAAGTCCCTCAAGCATTTAAAAAGGAACAAAGACAAGGGTTATACCTATTGGAGAATCCTTACTAGTCTCATCGATTACTCAAAATTCCACTCATACACAGGAAAGGAAAGAGATTGATACTTATACTGATATCGATCTGGAAGAGCACTGGATAGAGACTATAGGGTCTCATCCCTGCTTCAACTAAGAGATAGGGAGATAGCATCGTAGCATGAAATGAGCCAATGCCAAGTGCTCTCTTTGTTTGCCGCTCCTCTTCTTCCAAGGCATTGAATAAATGAAGAGAGTGACCCTAGAAGAGGAGGCAATCTCTGACATTTTACTTATACTTTACTCTCAACTTTGAGAATTTAAACTTATATCAGAGCAGGGAAAGTGGAGATGCTGGTAATTATATACGTAGTAATGAATGCCCGACCTTTCTAGTGGAGCAATCCTATGGTTAGGAACGTGACACATCAATCCTTTGTACCGAAGTAAGGTTGACTACGGACGATAGTTATACGTCCGCCAACAGTCAAGATTGAGAAATTGTACAGATTCCATTCGACGATTCATGTCTTCATTGGTAACTAATTACCTTTGGGTAGAAGCATGGTAACAAAAAGAAGAACGTTAGCCTTGAGGGTCTTCTAACTGAAGATAAAAGGACTGGTAATTGAATCAATAACCGTAGTTACTAGACTAGCACTTAAATTAGCTGTGATAGTATCTGTTGGTGCATCTTATATGTTTGATCTTAATGCCATTCAACATAGGATCTTAATGCTTGCTTGGAGAGCGCAAATCCTTACGCGGTAAATCAATAGCATTGGATTTAGTTCTTTCCTTCTTTCTTACTTTCATGGGTTGGTTTGGCCTTTTTCCGAGCTATAGCAAAGAGCGATTTAAGCGCGTCATGTACGACCTTGGCATTCATCTTGTTGTTGTTAAGCATATTTTGGAATATGTTGTTGACACACTTCATCATAGTTTCTTTACTACTCCACTCCTTCATTTCATTTCATCCTTACTCCATATTCGGATGCAGATTAAGGGGGAAAGACTTTGATTGGGAAGGGGGCCTCCTCTGCATACGGCCTGTTCGTTACTCACCTGGCTAAATACGGCACTGGGTGTTTTCTTGTATGAGGACTCTTTACGCACTGAGACTTTCCTTGAAAAAAGCGGAGACCTTGCTTCTACTTTTGTCGTAGATAGCTAATATGAGTAGGAAATATTTTCAAGAAATGAATGGAATTTTCCAATAGTAATAAGCTAATTGATTTAGTACGTTTAGCTTGGAACTATTAAACTTTACCCGATGAAGTAAGAAAAAACCAGTCTTACCTTTGAATTTCTTCTCTGATATCTATGTTTTGCCTTAACCACATCAAAGAGGAATTGAACCTCTTCTAGTTTTTTGAAAACTCTAATCCATTTGATGTCCGCCACCCTTCCCCTCCTCCTTCCTCCGTTAGGTTAGCTGCAACGGCCACAGACGCAGGAAACAGTTCCTCTATGGCAAATTTGAAACGTTGAAGTAGGCTGTGGCTTATAAATAGGAAGATAAGGCGTTAGCGGACCAACTTGACAGGACCCCCTTTTGCTCTATCTAACTTGGCGTGCGCTCCTTCCAGCCCTGCGAGAACATATTCGGACACGCGCGCTACTCATATCGGTACTAGAAGCCCCCAGAGCAGGCCTGGAAGACTATGAGCCCCACCTTCTGCGCGCGAGCCGAATGACGTAGGTGCACAAGAGTACTTCGCGCCACAACCATCTCCTTTTTATAGGTTCTACGGACCGATGCCTGCTGCTTCATCTGGGAGAAAAGAATCATGGATATTCCGGTCATTAGAAGGAAGAACCGCCATAAAAAGATTCCTCGTGTATCATCTTTAGCAAAACTATGAACGGGTGCTAGCAATCCGAACCGTATTGAAAAGGTTCCTGAGACACAGCATGGAAAAGTAACAATATTAAGAAACGAGGTCCAAGAATGAAGAAGGGGTAGAATTACTGATTGAATATGAGTTGTGGCTAATACCCGAGGCATAAAAGAAGCATTTTCTACGGGATCCCGAAACCACCAGCCACCCCGACCTAATTCATGATAGGCCCACCAACTTCCTGGAAAAATGCCTACGGTTAAAAACCACCGACATGTCAAGATCTAAATTCGAATTGGTTCCTAGTCCTGGTTAGAGACCACTGTGTTCGCACCGGCGGTCCAACAAAAAGGCGAAGTAGTGGTATCTTTCTTTCCATTACGAACGACACGCTTCGCCTGCTCCCTCCTCGTGTCCACTAGCGCTCCTGTCCAGAGCGAAGAGAGGGCGAAAAAGCGCTGCCGAAGCAGCATAAGCAGACTTCTATTGCTAGGTAACAATAAAGCAGGATAGCATTTTGCGCCCACATGTTTGAATTTGAGGGTAAAGAGCTCGCTTGTTATACGGGATCCGACGCATCCAACAGAGCGAAACAGTGTTCCATTCTTTTCGGCGGCATCCTTCCGCATTGGCGGCGAGTGGAGTGCCACAATCCCATTCATCATTTTTGATCTACATAAGCCAAAACCCATAGCACTGGCGACGTCTCCGGCATAAATGCAAGGAGGATGTATAGCTTATATAGGATCTTGTTGAACAGGATTTGATTCTCCAAGCAATTCAGTACAAACGAAGAAATTTTGAACAAAAGGGTCGGAACCCGCTGATAGGAAAGGAGAGAAAAACAAAGCAATGCCAAGAGCTCCGTCAATCCGCTGTTCATCGATAGACGAAGCTCTCTCTTTATCATCTCGTGCTAGATGCAACATCCTTTTTCCTTCTCGCGAACCACGGGAGCGCCTAGCGCCCAGAAGAGCAAAGCTCATTTTCCTTTGAGGGTAAAGCGGCGCATAAAAAAGGGCTGGCCCATCAAAAGTCTGTTTCCTTTGCGAACGAAGTTTAGAATCAACAAGGGTTCGTAGAACGAAGGGAGTGTATAACTGGGATTTCATTCCACTTTTTTGTTCGTAACGAGAGAGAGATAGAATGGAGTTCTTCACGAAGTTCGAAACAAAGGAATAAAAAGAACTTTCTCTATGGCCTCCTCTCCTTACAGTCAAGTGGCTTTCAGCTCCTCGTTTTGAGACATTATGGCTTAGAGGTCGACCCCAGTAACAAAGAAGGAATCCACAAAAACTTAGGATCCAACACCATGATAAAATACTACCCTCATGATTAGACCATATCCTTGAGATTTGAAAAAAGAAAGGTGCATTAGCGGTTAATACGTTGTAATTGGATAAGTTATTAGGAATATGACGGAACGAAAGACCAAGGAAAGAAATAAGAATACACCAAAATGCAAGTGCTGCACCAAACACTGGTTGTTGTTTCTTGTTGTAAGTGAATGCAACGAAAAGACCCGGAAATAACGAATAATGAAACAATTCATATATTGACATTTCGTGCTCATTTCCAAATTTCTTCTTTGTTATTCCCATCATCCGGTAACCACAGGATGATCCACAAGAAAGGTGGCAGGATTCGAACCTATGGCCGGCCTGCCCCTAACCTGCTGGGTTGGGTGGCCGGGTTAGCACCCCTCGTCGCCTCTGTACCCGAAACAGATGCGCTGCGCTACCCAGCGCCTAGCCCTGTCTCTCCTACTCCTCTTCTGGTTGTGCCATTACCAATCGCGGGTAACCCCCGGTCCAGCCGCCCCTGACCTAAGAAGAACTATTATCCTTATGACCAAACAAGGATCAACTTCTTACTTCTCGAGCGACAGTTCCACGATCCCGACCAGCAACTTCTTGGGAGTAGGGGCATCAAAGCTTGCCCAACCTAGTAAAGGGGCTTGGGGATAGAGGGTTTTCTGGGGGAGAGAAAGTTTCCAGGTTGGATTTTTGTAGATCAAATAGTACTAGTTGGGTAGATAGAGGTGGTGAAATCTAACCTTTGCATCGATCTTCTTTAGTAGGGCGGGTCGCTTAAGTGTCAAAACCAAGCCAAGCGGTGGTTGTTTTTCCTTGGCTTATTGAACTAGCGTATGCCCATTCCTCCTTTGATGACTCCCAATAGAGAAAGCCTCAATTTTCCGATGTGGATTGAAAGGAAGTTGGGGATGGACATAGACCCTTCCGCCTATCCGGAGTGTTGGAAATATAGCAATGTTTTTTGTATTTTTTATTTCCCGATCATTGGAAGCAATCTTCACTGGCACAAGGATCTCCTTACAGCAACCTCCACTACGATAGAAACCGACAATGAGTTTACGAAGGTTTCGAGTAGTGCGGGATAGGCTAATCACCAGACTGCTCTGGAATAGGTTAATCGTTGGAGACAAGAACGAGTGAATCTAGTTTCGAGAGAATGCCTTACTCTAATAGGGGGCGTAGAGTTTCTAAGTGAAGGCAAGCGCAACTATATATGTAATATCCTAGCTGTCAGCAAGGCAGGTCCGCTATAAAGCCTACCGGCCAGAAAGTCCTTAAGAACGAGGAAGCCGACTAAAAGGCTATTCCATAACCTCTCTTGTTGCCGAGTGGAGGGGGCGTTCAGCCACTTGACTGTAAGGAGAGGGGGCTTGGCTATAACCAGGCTCTAAAAGAGTTTTCTTCGAGCGAGCGGTCTTTCTATCTTTTTGGGTTGCATGCCCAAGGCAATGCTTTTTGTAGATTGAGATGGATTGATCTTCGCTATCGTACCTCCTCCTTGTACCAGTTGATGCTGGGGCAGTGCTTAATATGAGTTTTCTCCTGCCCCAGACAGCTTCGAGGTTCCCATCGATTACAGAGGTTTCTACCACTGAACTTGCTTATGCTCCCCTTTGATCGAGTGTTATTTCTATAAATAAGATTGAGTAGGGAAATGTTGAATTTGCTTCAATCGAGATTGCCTCGGCTTCTTAGGCACATGAGGAACTGGCCTAACATCTTTTCAATCGAAATCCCAATCAAAGACAAGTTCTACCAAGGCCAGGATCTGAAAGAGAGGATTCACTTTCCGAAATTCCAAGTGACATGATTCCTCCTTCAGAAGCTAAAGTTGAATGATCGAAGTCTCCTTTAGGTTCAGTTGAAGAGATCGAAACGAAGTCATCAATTCAACCATTCGAATGGTCTCCCCTAAGATTGACCTATTTTCCAAATAAACCGAACCTCGATACCACATTCATCAAAAAGATATGGCCATCTCTCCAGGTTTCACAACCCCTTTAGATCGTTCTATTCGTGCTTGAAAAACGACCCCATCGGTCCGCTCCTTTTAATGGACATTCTTAGCCGTCCTCCAAGGGTTAAAACCCCATAGATCAGATCGTGAACTCTTTCAGACCCTTAGTTTCACTTGGTTGGGGCAGAGTTTCAGCCTGCCTTCCACCGAATATAAAAAACCTTAGAGCTGCCTAACCTGCTGACATCCCGGCAAAGAGAGTCATTTTTTGTGTTACATCATCGAATTCGAGAGAGGGCTTTCCTCTTATCTCTCAAATTATAGGCATTGAAGCGATCGAGAGAAAGTAAGAAAACTATTGCACACGCCCCCAATTCGCCCTTTACTAATATAATAGAAGGTAAGGCAAAAGCAAGACTGAAACTACGAGCTAAAAGCAGGTGTGCCTCTCTTATAAGAGAATATGATACCATCCCCCACTTTTGGCGCACTTGTTTGATGAGCTAAGCCTAAGCGCCATATAAGTCAAAAGCTAGCCTGAGACTTAAAAAAGCAAGGTCGAAATCCATCCCTCTTTTTCCTATATTTTACTAGTAGGGCTAATGAACGACCCTTTGATCTATGTCGTGTTCAGCCAGGTCTGATTAGAAGTTCCAAAATGAGTGGAGCGAGGGGCTTTAGAGGGAAAAAAGAGGGGGGGGGCGAGCTTTAATTGAAGTAGGGGCGGAGCTCCTCTCCTTATAGTCAAGTGGCTTTCACTCCTCATAGAGAGTTAGAAAGCGTCAGTTCTCATAGCGAGGCTTAGGCCGACGGGTAGGGCGCGGCCCCCCAATTCTCAACCCCGACCTACACAAGTGGTTTTTTAACCCAAATTAGGAAAAGTTCTGTTAGGTTCTTAGTAGCAATCGACGACCTTTTCTTCTTCTACTTCACATAGCTTTTCGTCTCCTTGATGGCTGGAAGTTCTCCAAAAGTATGAAAAGCTGGAGGACTTTGTACCATCCATTCCGGTGTGGTTGGATTCTGTTCAACAGCCCAAGGACTTGGAGCACATCTTTTGTTCTTTCCACTACTTGAAGTGATTGTTACGACCACGAAGAAACGACAAATCCCAACTACGGATATATAAGAGCCAAAACTGCTAAGGGCATTCCATCCAGCATAAGCATCTGGATAATCTGGAATGCGACGTGGCATACCCGAAAGCCCTAAGAAATGCATAGGAAAGAAGGTCATATTAACCCCGAAAAAGGTGATCCAAAAATGGATTTGACCTAAAGTTTTAGGGTATGTCCGACCAAAGATTTTACCTACCCAATAGTGAAATCCTGCAAATAAAGCAAAAACGGCTCCCATAGAAAGTACATAATGGAAATGTGCAACCACATAATAAGTATCATGTAGAGCAATGTCTAGCCTAGAATTAGCCAGAACTATTCCAGTGAGTCCTCCTATGGTGAATAAAAAGATGAACCCTACAGCAAATAACATGGGTGTTTTGTATTGTATCGACCCCCCCCCCCACATGGTAGCGATCCAACTAAAGATTTTGATTCCAGTGGGGAAAACTATGATCATGGTAGCTGCGGTGAAGTAGGCACGAGTATCAACGTCTAAGCCCACAGTAAACATATGATGAGCCCAAACAAGAAATCCAAGAACACCTATACTGATCATGACATAAACCATGCCTAGATACCCGAAAACCGGTTTTCCCAAAAAAGTAGAAACGATATGACTTATGATACTGGATCCAGGCAGAATGAGAATATACACCTCTGGATGATCGAAGAACCAAAAGAGATGCTGGTATAATATGGGGTATCCCCCTCCGGCGGGATCACAAAAGGTTGTATTAAAGTTTCGATTGGTTAATAACATGGTAATTGCCCCTGCCAGTACCGGAAGTGATGATAAAAGTAGGAATGCTGTCACTAGAACGGACCACACAAATAGAGGTGATCTATGCATAGTCATTCCAGGTCCACACATGTTGAAGATAGTTGTTATAAAATTAATAGAACCTAAAATGGATGAAACACCAGATAGATGAAGACTAGAAATTGCTAAATCAACTGCTCCTCCAGAATGGCTGGTAATACCACTTAAGGGCGGATAGACCGTCCACCCAGTGCCACTACCCACTTCTACTAAGGCTGAGCTTAATAGGAGCAAGAGACTTGGAGGCAACAACCAGAATGAAATATTATTTAATCGTGGAAATTCCATGTCAGGCGCACCTATCAGAATCGGAACAGACCAATTACCAGATCCTCCTATCATCGCCGGCATAACTATAAAAAAGCTCATTAAAAAGCGTGAGTCGTTATTAAAACATTATAAATTTGATGATTCCCACTAAGAATTTGATCGTCGGGTCGTGCTAATTCCATACGAATCAGTACTGAGAAGCATGTGCCCATCACTCCAGCAATGGCACCAAAGATGAAATAAAGAGTCCTTATATCCTTGTGGATAGTGGAGAACAGCCATCGGACCGGATTTGTCGTAAAATTGAGATTATTTCATTTCCTTCCTAATCAGAGAGGGGCTCGCGGGGCTTATTTATTGAAAAAGGGGGAGTGAGGGGGGGGAGGAAGAACGGAAAGCCCGAACTTTATTGATGGGACATTTTGATCCCCTTTTCCTCTCATCCTCCCCCGGTTCTGGTTCAGGAAAGGGTCAACGCAAGGATCTTATTTCGAAGCAATCTTTGGAGTTTTCCCTTATCCAAACGGGTCTTGCAAGAAAATAGGATTTCATATTGAGCTCCAAATATACGCTATTGGTATGGGATGGCTCCTACTAGCTCTCCCCCCTAAGAACCGCACGTGCGAGTTCCCCTGCATACGGCTCAAGTGGCGAAGGCCCTTTCCTTCGCGCTTGGTAAGCGCTTCGTTGTAGCCAAGCTTACAGCTAGCCTATCGGCTAGAGCCAAGCTTCGACCGTGACTGCTCGTCACTTCTGGCCGCCTTATTCCGTCACCCGAGATCTAAGTCAGCACCGGCAAAGATCTCTTGATTCCTCGCGACCGGGCTGGCTTGGAAGCAAGCTACCTCTTGCCTATCTCACCCCCTTCCTTCAGTTGGGTGAGCCTTCGCTTTTTGGATCGTCTTCTGCCCAATGCGGTACCCCCCGTTTTTTGGTTCCCATTGGGTTTACCTTTTTCATAGGTCGAATCCATGGCAACAAGAAAAGGCGTTCTTATGCTATACTCCGGTGATATCTTTCTTACCGAGACACGCAAACTCCCATCGTGTCCCAGATCACATTTCGTGAATCGAAAGGGGAAGCCTACTCATCTATTAGCTCCTCTCGTAGATCGGTGCGGTTTTACGAAGCGTCTAAGAACAGTTCACTCGCGTTGATCAATTAAGAGGGTTGCCGCCACTCCTTAAGTTTATCTATTGTATCATACACTTCTTGCATTCTGTCCCACGCTTCATACCTCCTCTTTCTTCTTAAGGTAAGATAAAGGGCCAGGCATGGTGGGGTAGGAGCATCCAGTCGGCAATCTTTTTGGCTTGAGCAAGAAGTCTTATGTCCTCCGAGTCGCACGACGTTTTAACCGAAAGAACTTCTTGCGCAATTCATGCCTTTCTATTTTTATGACCAGAAATTCTTTCTTGATTTTCATAAAAAATTGTTCTCTGGACTTTTTATCAATATGAGGTGATCGTAACACAGTATATAAGACTCGTGATTCAGGCAATCCTATCTTCCGTGTGTTAGGCGGAAGCCCCCAAAAATGGTTTTCCAAAAATGGGTGATCAAAAGATCGAATTACTATGCCTATCTTTGTGGTCGTTACTTTTGGTGGTCTTTCTTTTT